TTTCAATATTGACTAGTGTTTCGGCGTAGCCCTCATATAAAAGTACACCCATTATCACGAATTTTGAACACATTTTTCAACCAAGTTAGCTGCAATTTTATTTAATTTTAAATTTTGTTGGAAAAAATCCTTATGATAACTCGATCAGTATTGAACCAAATTTCGGGACACCCCATTATTCGTTTTTAGGGAAGTTTGGAGACGATTTTCAACCAAATAGCAAATAGAATAGAAAATTATTGCTAGTCCTTATAATAAACTCATTGTGGGTGATTTAGAAATCTATTAGCCCGGTCGTCGAAAATTTTGATAAAATCGGAGAAATTATTAAAGTTGACCGGCATGTTAGCAGTCGTAACATCGCCCTGGAGCTAAAAATCGACCATAAAACTGTTTTAAATCATTTACACAAAGATGGATTCAAAAAGAAGCTCGATGTTTGGGTGTCACACCAATTAACAGAAAAGCCTTGGCCAAACGGAATGAGATAAACCCATTTTTTAAACGGATGGTGACTAGAGTTGAGAAATGGATCACATACGATATCCCTGTGCGAAAACGGCCAGAAAGGTTCTGCTATGCATTGGTGGGTCTGGAAGGGGATTACTTATTATGAGTTGCTTACATATAGCTACATTCCGATCTCTACTGTCAACAACTGGACAGTATGAAGATAGAAATTGGCCAGAAACGGCCAGAAATGGCCAACAGGAGAGGTGTTGTCTTCCACCAGGACAACACTAGGCCACACACATCTACAGTGACTCGCCAGGAACTTCGGGAGCTTCTTTGGGAAGTTTTAATGCATCCGCGATACAATCCGGACTTGGCACCAAGCGATTATCATTTTTTTATTGCATTGTAAAATTTTATTAATGATAAAAAATTGATATCTAGAAAAGATTGTGAAAATCGACTACCACAGTTTTTTTTGCAAATATAGTGAAGGACTTCTGTGAGAGATTCATTATGAAGTTAGCTTAAAATGGCAACAAAACGATGCATATTTGTCCCAAATCGGATATTCCGAAGCATGTTAAATAAAGTCCCAACCTAAACATGTCTTGCTTTCACAGAAGACTGCATATGTCAGAAATCTAATCAACCTTGACACCAATATTGAACATAACCAGTGAGCTGAGCAGTATAGCCGGACGGGGCCGACCATACGACACTATACACAACTACCACGGAACTCTAACTTTCTGCGGATGTTTATTTCTAGCCTGGACAATATTTCGTGATATTTGCACTCTCTTTTCCGATTAGAGGTCAACAGCACCGTGAGTTGGACTTATAGCCTATAGGTCGACTCGAAAAAAAAACATAAAAAAATTACTATCTGATCATCACCGAAAATTATAGGCGTTGTCCTTGACCACAACTGGAATCTCATGGAAAATTTCAAAGCGATCAGCGCTATATTTCCGCCCTCTAGTGTGGTAATAGGTTACTAAATAATATATCAGTACGTAAGCACTTTTTAATATTTAAGTGTAACTCCCACATCTGAGTACATGCGACCATATAATTGGTATCAATTTAAAGGTTAACCACTCCTCTTGGATATACTATAAACTTCTCGGCTGTATGTCCTTCAGGAGTAAATATATACGGCATAGAATACAAATTGTGTTATTTTTCACACAAATGTCAGGGTCCAATTGACCCGCTAAATAATGACCGATCTTTATCAAAACAGGCATGCTTACTCTTTAGCCCGATCCCCTTCTCGGTGTTTGGGCCATAATTGCGGCCTCTGGAGCGACCAGAAAAAACCAACAAAAATAAAGTTTTTGGTCCATTTCATACCCTAAATATTAACCGATCTTTTCCAAAAACAATAGGCCAGAACCCATTCTACATGCAAAATTTCGTGAAGATTGGTCCATAACTGTGGCCTGTATCGTGTTTACAAATTATAATGGACAGACGGACGGACGGACGAACACACATGTCTAGATCGACTCAGCTAGTCGAGATATGACGATCGGTATACATAAAGGTGGGTCTAGGATCAATATTTCGCGACGTTACAAACTCTTGGGGCTGCACAAAGCTATAATACGCTGACAACATAGTTGTGTAGGGTATAATTCCAACTTGAGTACTATTTTGTATCAAATTTCATGACTCGAGCTATATAGGTTCCTCCAATTCAATATTTGTCAAATTTAGTACCATTTTTAGCACAAATTAATATAAATGTCCATAAGTATCAACCTCAACAATGCAAATTGTACCAAAAGAACGAATTACTTAAATTTCCAATCCTACTTTCCATATTAATTACAAATTTTAACTCTATCGGATCACCGACATCTAAATTGCATCAAATTTAGTACCTATTTGTACCTATACAAATTCCCATTACCGCCTATATCATACAATCCAATAAAATTATTATTTTAAGACTCCATATCAAATCCAAATTGTATCAAATTTAGTATGATTTAGTAAAGGACTTGCAAAACTACCTCCTACCTCCAAATTTCAGGATTTCAGCTCTATAGGTACACATAAAATTCAAATTGTACCAAGTTAAGTAACATTCAGTGCACATTAGTACGAATTCCCCAAACTACCTTATCCAACCAATAGGAATCTTATTTCTTAATTTCAGATTCCAGCCTTAACGGTTCACCAAAATGCAAATTTAGCACCATTTAGTACACATTAGTACGAATTTCAAAAACTTCCTACATACCCCAATCTTACACACCAAAAGCGGTCCGGTTTCAGGATTCCAGCTCTATCGGTTCACACAAAATTGAAATTGTACCAAATTTTGTACCATTTCCTAAACTACCTACATACCACAATTCTATAATGCCGTAGTAATCTTATTTCCAAATTTCAATGTTCCAGTTCTATCAGTTCACTCAAATCCATACTGTATTGAATATTCATTCCATTCTTCCAACTTAAAATTGTATAAAATTCAGTATTGTTTAGTATGTTTCGCATACAGGTGTACGCACTTCCTAAACTATTTCCTTATATAAATCCTACTTGTCAAACTTGTTTCGCATTCCAAATTTGAATTTTATTAGTTCTATCCTCTATAAAAAAATTAGTACATTTTAGAACTTTTCGGATACTTATAGTTCGAATTTCCAAAAAAAACTTTGGTACATCTATCCATCAATGACCCTCAATCCAAATTTCACCACACTGTGGTACAGGGTATTATGTCTTTGTGCATATGTTTGTAACAGGCAAAAGGAAACGAGATAGACACAGGGTTCCTTTTGAGAATATGCATAGAATCACTTTTTAAGCCGATTTATGCATGTCCGTCCGTCTATAGATGTTAAATTGTAAACAAAGTTAGGGTCGCATATATGATCCTAATTGGATGAAATTTGGTACAGTTCACTTATTTGGTCCAAGGACGAACCCTATTGAAATTGGGAAAAATCGGTTCAGATTTAGGTATAGCTCCCACATATATTTTCGTCCGATTTTAAGTAAATAGTGCACCCAAGTCCTTATATATCCTTCAATTTGCACGAAATTTAGCATAGCGTACTGAATTAAGTCTAGAACGATGTGTGTAAAATTTCGTGAAAATCGGTTTAGATTTAGATATAGCTAAATTTTAGGTAAATAGTGCACCAAAGGCCCTATATATCCTTCGATTTGCACGAAATTTGGCTTAGCAATCTGAATTAACCCTAGAACAATGTGTGTAAAATTTCGTGAAAATCGGTTCAGATTTAGATATAACTCCCATACATATTTTCGTCCGATTTTAGGTAAATAGTGAACCAATATCTGTATATCCTTCGATTTGCACGAAATTTGGCTTTATAAGTTAATGAATAACTCAAAATGTGGCGAATGCAAAAATACATACTGAAATAAGTGTAACCTAACATGTGACAAGTTTCGATGAAATCGGTTTAGATTTCGATATTTTGCTTTAAATTTATTTACACAATTTTGTCCCATTGTAAGAAGCAACTCTATATCTGACCAACATTTAGTATAGGTTTCAGAATGACAAAAATGCGACGTCTGTTAGGATTCCATATGTTGGATATACCCAAAGTGGTGAAGGGTATCATATAGTCGGCCCAGTCCGACTTTAATGCTATCCTTACTGGTTCTTAATACAGATATTTAAAATTTTGAATATGATTTGTTTCAAAAATATTGTTAAGTGGTATAAAATTTGTTTGTGGCTTTGTATCATGGACTTACCATGGACTTAAACCACTTTCAAAATAAATGACTCATAACTAAGAGTGACCCTCATCCCAAATTTCAAGATTCTAGCTTCAGCCGTACCATCTGGTCGTTGATGAATCATTAAGTCAGTCAATCATTTTACTCGTTTAAAAATATAGACATTTCTGATATATGCCATCAGCTCCCTATTAACACACACTTAACGCACTGTTCTCGTATATTAGTATAGAATATTTGTTTTATAATGTTTTTTTTTTTTTTTTTGTTTTCGAAAGAATAAACAACAAATTGCACAAAAAAAAAACATAAAACAAACTACGACAGTTTTCCAAAATGATAAATTATTTTCAAAGTCAAATTACTAACATGGAAAGCAAATTTGCAATAAATTTTATTCTTATCTAAATAACCACAAAAAAGGAAATAATTTTAAACAAAAAAATTAAAGTAATATTGCAATTGTGTGGATATTTCATACAAATACGGTTTTTTGGTATAACAAATAAAATATATATTTTTTTCAATATCAAATATAACAATCAATTAATTAATCATTCCAATACAAAAAACAAAATAAAATTAGAAAATATTGTTTGTTTATTTCTTTACGGCCAATAAAGGTTATAATTTTGGAAATTGAAAGAAAAAAAATAAAAGAGGCACATTTTGTTGTGGCACAAAGAATAATAATTTTTAATTTTTTATAAAATTTCGAAAAATCAATTTTTTGGCAAAGTCTGTATTTATGTATAAAACTCAACGATTAACGTACATTTAACGCAGTTAGGTGGTAAATTAAATCTTACCTGAATTTATTAATTGCTTGATCACCTAATTCATAAAATTTTATTTCTTCACTAAATACGTCTAAAGGGACATTGACCGGTCTCCGTAGTCGGCCACCTAGAAATTTCATTGTTCATATTCATATACAGAGTTTTGGTAATATTTTTTTTTTTTTTTTGCAGGCAGCAGTCAGACAGGCAGGCAGGAAATCAAAGGAGGATGATGCACAACAGGATAACATAAATTACGTTTTTTCGGAGGGTGGGAGAGGGCGGGGTAGTAACAGGGATATTGTAACACGTAAATAAGAAACAAAAACAACAAAAGAAATTGAAAATAAAAAAAAACAAATTCAAATTAAAATATATAAATAAAAAAAATGTTTAAATAATAAATACATATTTTAATATAAATATATTATTTGTTGTTGTTATCGTTGTAGATGTAGTAGTAGATATTGTTGTTGTTTTTTTTGGGTTTGGTTATTATTTATAATATAAAAGAAGAGGAGAAAAAATATTACAAGATTAGTTAGTTTCAATATCATTATATATAGAAAATTTATTATATACAGAAATAGTTTTTTTATATAAAAATGTTAAGTGTGTCCAGCCTGTCCTGGCTGTAAAGTGTTGTTTTGTTATTGTTCTTGTAAGCGATATATATATATATATATATATAGAAAAGTTCTTGGCAACTGTTCGAACTTACCACTTTGATAATAGTATAAAATAGCATCGAAGCTCGGTCGACTACGGTCAAAAAAATATTCGTTTCTCAGCGGGTCAAAGTACCGTAATCTCCGAGCTGGATCCCCCAGTAACGTATCGGGGAACTGATTTAACGTTCGTAATTGTGTTTCAAACCTTAACCCGCTTACCTGAAATTAAAGAAAAGTTGGAAGATTAAAATAATGAATATATAAAAAAAAATAACATCGACGTTTGCCTTTCGAGGTGTTTATAAGCTCCAACATGAAGAAATTTAGAATCCTGTAAAATTAAGAAAGTGTGAAACGATGGGTTGTATTTTTGGACTTGATCTAGATTCAGTTTGACTTATAAGAAGTTTCCAATTTTTGAAAATGTTGACCGAATTGTGGAGGAGATACTAAAAGGAGGGTATCGTCTGTGGAAGATCTGAGTTATGCCCGTCTGCCTCAAAAAGGCCTAAGTAAATACTAATCTCATTAAAACACTTAAGGGAGGCATTTTATCCAGGGAATATCTGGGGAAATTCATCTGATAATGGAAGACCTGGGAAAGAATATTTCTATATAAAACCTACGGAATTTATTTTATCTGTCAATAGAAGACTTGAAAAAGATGTTCCCACCAACATGAAGACATTTAGAATAATTGTTAATCCAGAAGTTGTGAACTGATGGGTTGCGTCAGTGGAAGATCTGAGTTATGCCGTCTGTCTAAAGAATGCCTAGGTAAATACTTATCTCGTTAAAACACTTAAGGGAGGCATTTTATCCAGGGAATATCTGGGGAAATTCATCTGATAATGGAAGACCTGGGAAAGAATATTTCTATATAAAACCTACGGAATTTATTTTATCTGTCAATAGAAGACTTGAAAAATATGTTCCCTCCAACATGAAGACATTTAGAATAATTTTTAATCCAGAAGGTGTAGACTGATGGGTTGCATCTTTAGAATTGATCTAGGTTCAAGGTTTACAGATTCTTCTGTCAAGACCTGAGAAAGATTGTTTCTATATAAACCTACGAACATTTTTTTCGGGATATCTATCAATAGAGGGCACGAGGAAGGTTTTCCCTCGAGGTTATCTGAGGCTCCTAGAACTTCAATAGGCAAAAACCAAATTAAAATATCGCTTATTAAGAATAGGTATCGACGAGTGCAGTTCTTACAAATGGAATCTAATAGATTATTGTTTTTTAGGACCGGATACTGTATTGTAATGTTGATAGGTTTCCAAATTGTCTAAAATGTGAACCGATCTGAACTCTTTCATCCAAAATACCTAAAAACGATCCGACTTTGAATACAGGGGCTATGCCACCCAATGATTATTCAAATGCTAATTAGGGCCAACACGGCTGAAAAACTTGTCCAAAATCCTTCAAATAACAACAATTAGGGGAATATACAATTGGTTGGTGTCTTCACTAAGATCAATTAAAAAATTCTTTCCACGCACATCATCATATCAGATGGAATACATCCGAACCCACTGACATTCTTATAAAGAAGTTCGGTATCAACACGTGAGAACAACACAAATTAATTATGGCAGGAGATAGCGCCACCCCGAGGGAAATACACAAGGATCTCGACCAATGAGCAAAATCAAGGAGGCATTGTTTCTTGGTTTCAAGGGTTTGGTAAATGAACCGATATGTATACCCTACAAAACTATGTTGTCTGGGTTTTATGGCTTTGTGTATCCCCAAAGAGTTTATAACGCCAGCCACCTATTTGTATACCGATAGTCATATATCGATTAGCTGAGTCGATCTAGACATTTGTGGTCTGTCCATCATAGTTTCAAAACACGAAACTATGATGGACCAGTTACGATCCAATCTTCGAGTCGAAATTTTGCATGCAGAACCAGTTCTGGTCAAAGAAGATCCCTACTGTTTGTTATTGTATGAAATGGACTGTTTTTCTGGTCACTCTAGAGGCCACAATTATGACCGGAATATCACGAAATTTTAAACAGAGAAAAGGATTTGACAATAGAATAATCATTACTGTTTTGATGAAAATTGGTCAATATGTAGTGTATCAAATGGACCCGGACTTTTGTGTGGAAAATGACAAAATTCTTATTCTAGTGCGTATATATATACTCCTAAAGTACATAGAACCGAGAAGTTGATAGAATATGTCCAAGAAAAGTGAATGACCTTTCATACTGATTTTATTGTTCTATCTAGTCAGGGATTGGAGTTCTTCTTTAATGTCTACGTAGTTTGCTATTGTTTAGTATTACCCCGATATTGGGTATAAATTTCGACCTGATGGCTAGAAAATGTTGCATGAGGTTCCGGTTATGGACAAGGACGCCGCCAACAAATTTCTGGGATGAAATGGATCGAAAACTTTATATTTGTCTGGATATCTAGTCGCTCTAGATGCCACAATTAAATTTTAATTAAAATTAAAAGCCGAACATCACAATTTCCTATAGTGGATCAGAGGAGCTGTTAATTTAAATCGGTCAAGATAGTGCAAATATCGTGAAATATTTCCCAGGCTCCTGGAAAGAACTGCTAATAAAATATTTGAAAAAGTCTTCTGCATACAGAAAATATGTGAATGGTCGAGATAATCTGAGGAAAGTCTTGTGGAGAACGTTTATCTGTCTCTGGAAGACTTGAGGACGATATTTTGTCTATAGAAGACTCCCGACAGGTTTACTGTGCATGGATCCTACGTGAATAGATGTACTAGAGATGTTTCTTTTTTTCGCCACGGAAAATGTTTTCTATCAATGACACATAAGGACTAAAAATGTATTCTGCAGCTTTTTGCTCTCCACATGATTGGAATAATTTAAGATGCTTATATGTCCTTACTATACCTGTCAATAGAAGATCTAGGGAAAATTTGCAGTCCATAACATACCTGACGAAAATCTTCTGTCTATAGAAAACCTATGGAAGATCCAAGGACACTTATCTGTATCTAAAAGATTTGATTATTCTTATTTGTCGGTAGAAGAAGTTGTTCACGAAATACTAAAATATAGGCACTTCGCTTGGAAAAGTGTCTGGGACCAACAACTGAAAATTTTCACCTTTATATGTACACAATACTAAATAATGGACCAAAATTTAAAATTTTTAGACTGAAGAAAATTTGGAACAACTCAGTTGTAACCAGTGAGCGGAGCAATATAGTCGGACGGGGCCGACCATATCATACCCTACACAACTTCCACGTAAATCGAACTTTCTGTTCTTCTATATTCTGAGCTTGGGAAATATTTCCCGATATTTACACCCTCTTGCAAAATTATTATCTGATCATCACCGAAAATTATAAGCGTTGTCCTTGACTATACCTGGATCCTAATGAAAAATTTCAAAATATATTACCGTCCTCTAGTGTGGTAATGGGTTACTAAATAATATCTGAATACGTAAGCACCTGTAAATACTTAGATGTAACTTCCACACCCGAGTACATACGGCAATAAAATTGGTATCAATTTAAAGGTCGACCACTCCTCTTGTGTATATAATCAACTTCTCGTATCTATGTCCTTCATGAGTATTTATATGCGCTATAGAATACAAATGTTGTAATTTTTCACACAAAAAAAGTCTGAGTCCATTTGACCCGCTAAATATTGACCGATCTTTGTCAAAACAGGCATGCTTATTCTTTGGCCCAATCCCCTTCTCCATGTAAAAATTCGCGATATTTGGGCCATAATTGAGTCCTCTGGAGCGACCAGAAAATCAGACAAAAATAAAGTTTTTGTCCATTTCATCCCCTACCAAAAACAATAAAGATCTTCATTGGTCACAACCCATCTTACGTGCAAAATTTCGTGAAGGTTGGTCCATAACTGTGGCCTGTATCGTGTTTACAGATTATAATTGACCGACGGACAGACACACATGCCTAGATCGACTCAGCTAGTCGAGATATGACGATCGGTATACTTAAAGGTGGGTCTAGGATCAATATTTCGCGGCGTTACAAACTCTTGGAGCTGCACAAAGATATAATACCCTGACAACATACTTGTGTAGGGTATAAAAATAGCTGAAATCCTCAAAATAACAAAACATAGAGGTACCATTATATGGGGTCTACAGATTTTCTGTGTACGGGTCTATAGATGCCCTGCAGATTTTCTGTGAGTGCTTCTCCTTTTTCTAGAAAGAACGAAGAAGACTTTCTATAAAAAAGACATCTGAACTAAGGAAAAGCTGATTTCTGTCTATAGACAACGTCAAGCAGGTCATCTGCGCTGAGAACACATCTAGACGGTTTTCTATATATTGAAGATCTAAAGAATGTATTTTTGTATCAAAGAACTACTCATTCGAAAGAGTGGAGTGGATGCCATCTTCAGACTTGATCTAGGTTTGATAAACATATTACGATGTACAAAATGTGTATCCAATCGAATACTACATTCGTTTGATGTTTGATTTACAAATTTTAGAATTAGAAGGATTGTACCGATATATCCTATCTTTGAACTTGATCTATATTTAAAAGTTTGTATGAAATTGGTTACTCTTTTCGAGAATTATCGCGCGCAACCGCCAGACAGATATGTCGGAAACTGATTTGGAACAAAGTTACATGGGGTCTATAGATGAGGCATATTTTTGTCGTATAAAAGTTACCCCATCAGTCACAAGGTTGAGGGTTTACAATTGTATATTTAATTAATTTTTTAAAGATTGGACTACTACAGGACATTTCCTTTTATATATCATCTTATAATCATCAGAAAATCCATAACCACAATTACAATAATAAAAAAATTAAACATTTAAAACTAACAAAAAATAACAACAACACACAATTATACTTACATTTATAACAACTCTTTCACAAAAATCATGATCATGAGGAATGGGTTCAAAGTGTTGTGGCCCGCCACCATAGCCATGACCAGCCCCCCCTTCTTCGTCTTGACTGCTTAATTTGGGTAAAGACCTAAAGGGAGAAAAAACATAGAAGGAAAAAAATATATAAATTATTGTCATAATAGTTTTTTTTTGTATATATATAAATGCAATTTAAACACTTAGCCTATGGAGAATTGTTTTTATTTGTTGTCATAAAATTTGAAAAAAAATCCTTGTTAAATTGTAAAGCCTTCTTCAGGTTACGAGCCAAGTCTGCCAGTCGTCCTGCCAGTTTAGATCTTTTTCATGTTGCCAAAAAAACCAGTCCCCACCCAAACCCAGTGCTTGCAAAAAACCCATGTTTGTTCAACCACTTGTAAGCAAAATCATCAACAATTGCAATCACAAATTTTTAAACCATCGCACACACAAACACAACGAACATTTCGACCACTTTAGGGGGCCACTTTTTCTTGGCTCCTTGACAAAAATTTCCAAAAGTGCTTGTTAAAGTTCACACAGTGTAATCTAAATCAATTTGGGCATATGTATTTGTAATTTGCCGCCACATAATAAAGTGTGATATCGTTTAAATATATTTTTTTTCATTTGCGGTGGAAATGGAATTTGTTGTTGTAATAAAAATATATATTTCCTGGTGGTAACACCTTGTACTTTTGGAAGTATTAGGTATTTCAATTTTTGTTGGTATGAATATTTAATGGGCACTAAGTGATATGGGCATGAAAACTAAAGAACAAAAAATTTGTAGTTATTTTAAAGCATATAAAATAAAAATGAAAAATCCAATACTAGAAAATCTTTGAAAAAAATATTTTTAAAAAATCCACTTTTAGAAAACTCTTTGAAAAAATATTATTTAAAAAAATCCACGCCTAGAAGAATCTTTGGATTTTTTAATCCACGACTAGAATCCAAGCCTAGAAGAATCTTTGGTAATTTTTTAAATCCACGCCTAGAAGAATCTTTCGAAATTTTTAAATCCACGACTAGAATCTACGTCTAGAACAATCTTTGAAAAATATATTTTAAAAGAATACACGCCTAGAACAATATTTGACAAATATATTTTAAAACCAGTAATGAAAGTAGTAAAGTCGGACTGGGCCGACTATATGATACCTTTCACCACTTTGAATATATTCCACATATGTATCCTAACAGACGTCGCCTTTTAGAAGGAACATTGACATGAAATTGAACGAACTTAAATCTAAATCTAACCCGATTTTCTCGAAACTTAACACACGAGCTATGGTAGGGACAGATTTGCATTTCAAAGGTACGAACATCCCCATGAACATGCAGAAAAACAACAACATCAAGTGTAAATAGAAAACCAGAAAAAAACAAAATTTCTGTAAATACACTTGTAAAGAGGTTGTTAGAAGTACTTCAACGTATAAAACATTCAATTGTAGTATCTTCAGTACACTGTACAAAATTGTGTGCCGGTCGGGTAAACTTTGAATCTATAGTGCGCAATTTACATTAAATCGGACGAAAATAGATTTTGGGGGCTAAATCTAAATCTGAACCAATTTTCACGAAACATATCACACATCATTCTGGACCAAATTAAGTACCCCATGCCAAATTCCGTGCAAAACGAAAGATATTTAGGGACTTTGGAGCCCCATTCACCATAAATCGGACGAAAATATATATGGGTGCTACATGTAAATCAGACCCGATTTTTTGGCACACGTCATTCTAGACTCAATTGAGTAAACCATGCAAAATTTCACGCATATCGAACGATATATAGGGACTTTGTGCACCTTTTACATAAAATCGGATAAAAACTATGGGAGCTATATCGGAACCGATTTTCTGAAAACTTAGCACATATCATTCTGAACCTAAATCGGTACCCTATGCCAAATTTCGTACAAATCGAATGACACATAGGGACTTTGGTGCCCCATTTAATTTAGATCGGACGAAAATATATATAGGAGCTACATTAAAATCTCAACCGATTTTCTCGAAACTTGACACACATCAGTCTAGACACAATTCAGTATACTATGCAAAATTTCGTGCAAATAGAAAGTTATATGGGGGCTTTGGCGTATAATTTACATACAATCGGATAAAACTATATATGGGAGCTATATCAAAATCTGAACCGATTTTCTCGAAACTTAAAACACATCATTCTGGACTCAATTGAACACATCGTGCAAATTTTCGTGCAAATCGAAAGATATATAGGCGCTTTGGCGCACCATTTACATAACATCGAACAATGCTATATATGGGAGCTTTATCTAAATCTGAATCGATTTTTACGAAACATAAGACACATCATTCTGGACCTAATTCAGAACTCTGTGCCAAATTGCATGCAAATCGAATGATATATACGGACTTTGGCGCACCATTTACATAAAATCGGACAATACTATATATGGGAGCTTTATCTAAATCTGAACCGATTTTCTCCAAACTTAACACATATCATTCTGGACCTACTTCAGTACACTATGCATATTTTCGTGCAAATTGAAGGATATATAGGAACTTTGGTGCCCCATTTACATTAAATCGGACGAATATAAATGGGAGATATATCTAAATCTGAACCGATTTTCTCGAAACTTGACACACATCATTCTAGACACAATTCAGTATACTATGCAAAATTTCGTGCAAATCTAAAGGTATATAGGGGCTTTGGCGCACCATTTACATAAAATCGGACTAAACTATATATGGGAACTATATCTAAATCTGAACCGATTTTCCCGAAACATAACACACATCGTTCTGGACTCAATTGATCACACCGTGCCAATTTTCGTGCAAATTGAATGATATATAGATACTTTGGTGCGCTATTTACCTTAAATCGGACGAAAATATATATAGGAGATATATGAAAATCTGAACCGATTTTCTCGAAAGTTGACACACACTATTCAGTATACTATGCAAAATTTCGTGCAAATAGAAACATATACAGGGGCTTTGGCGCACCATTTACATAAAATCGGACAATTCTATATATGGGAGCTATATCTAAATCTGAACCGATTTTCACGAACTTTAGCACACATCCTTCTGGACCTAATTCAAAACTCTGTGCCAAATTTCATGCAAATGGAATGATATATAGGGACTTTGGTGCACCATTTACATAAAATCGGACGAAACTATATACGGGAGCTATATTTAAATCTCAACAGATTTTCGTCAATTTCAGTAGGGTTCGTCTTTGGGCCAAATAAGTGAGCTGTACCAAATTTCATCCAATTAGGATCATATATGCGACCCTAACTTTGTTTACAATTTAACATCTATAGACGGACGGACATGCATAAATCGACTCAGAAAGTGATTCTATGCATATTCTCAAAAGGAACGATGGGTATATCCCGTTTCCTTTTACCTGTTACAAACATATGCACTAAGACATAATACCCTGTACCACAGTGCGGTGAAGGGTAAAACAATACACGGCTAGAACAATCTTTGAAAAATGTATTTTTAAAAAATCCACGCCTTAACATTCATCGAAAAATATTTTTTTTCAAAAAGCCAAGCCTTAACGATCATCGAAAATTTTTTTTTTAAAAGCCACGCCTTAACAGTCATCGAAAAAATATTTTGAAAAAATTGACGCCTATAAAAGTCAGAGAAAACAATATATTTAACATTTTTATTGACAAAAATATGTCATCGAATAATCAGCCTCAAGTTATTATTATCCCCCAATATACAGAAATCATTTCTCTAACCTCCCTCCCTTCCCTTTCAGGTCCTATCGATTCACTCAATTGAAAAGGTTCAATGATTTCATAGTTCATTTTTTTCTTGTGAGAAATTAACATTGCAAATGTAATTGCACTTGTCTATGACGCCGTGCCATGATTGCCGTTATATTCATCTCCCCTTCATGACGATTGCGGGTGGCGGCCTACTGACTTCTCATCAATAAACTGCTAAAGACAAGCGCAACAGTCAAATTCAATCGTCATTTTCAACAGCCAACACCACCACATTTACCTTGCCCCCTCCTCAGGCAATAGAAAAGACAAGGCTAAACTATTTTTAGTTATATATGCCTCTATATATACACAGATGACATATATATTTATAGCTATATACAACTACACGTTTATACATAACACGGTATGGTATATTTGCCGCTATATACTACCGTGTAACCTTCTAGCATTTGTTAGATAAATATTTTCAGGCAGTAGTTAGGCGGCAAATGAGGGAGGCCGTATTCGACAGTAGTTGACTCAAGGCAAGGAGATTCATATTCGAGGAATCACAACTTATTGTCAATTAAAAAAATCGTGATCATGGCTTAGAATATCCTCTTATATTGGTACTTCTGTTTTTTAAATATTTCTCATATATATTTTTCAATGGAAGAAACCACTTGCTTCATAAATATTTTGTATTATGGAAAATTAAATTCCTTTTTTTAAATCCTCTTAAAAGTGTTTATTTTCAAAATATGATTTATGAGTATTGCAATATTTCATAACCCAATGCAATCAGTTTAGACTGGCCTTAGAATTGGTGTAATGGCAATAAACAGCAATTTACAAATCATTTGTTATCTGTATATATACAGGTGACTTTGTGTACATATCTATGATTTATGTACATTTCTTCTCTATATAACCAACCTTATAAAATACTGACGAATTTTCACTACATACACGTTTTCTTTTTTGCCTTTGTGGCTCTGTGTGCATTGTTGATGCATGCATGCATTTGCATTGAAATTGGGTCAAATGTTATATTCTCTTTAAGGCCGCTCTTATTTCATCCACCTCTCTCTCAGTCTTGCTCTCTTCGTCTCTCATTTCATTCGTTTCGTTATGTTCCATGAAAACAAATCATCAACGTCAGTTTTTTTTTCATCGCAAACAAACGGTATTAAAACGTCATGCACTTCCATTCGAAGGCGGCCAGGACGTATTAATTCCCACTCTCTGTCTTTCTATTTCCCTCTCTCTTTCTGTGATTCGTGTTTCAAGTGATATTTTTTCTCCCTCACCTATATACCATAATCTATGACGTCACATGCCGCATATATACCAT